GGGGGGGGGGAGGGGATGTGCCTTTATATGAGAGCGTACTCGAGTTGTACACGGTAATTGGTTTACATTGAATTTGACTCTGAAATTCGTTTTTAAAACCCATGTTCTGATCGAGTGTACAAGGCGGCTAGTTAGTTGCCAGTGGACAGGAGAAGCCCATGACTCGCATGGATTTTGTGAGACAAACCGTTCGTTTCACAGCGAAGATTAAATCGTAAAATTGATTTATTTATATCAAATGGCTTCACAGAGGGTAAGGAATATCAAAGTGAAAAAAAATCGAGAGGGGGGGGGGTGGAAAGAAGAGTGATTCACAGATGTAGAAGAGACAGGCGGACACAAAGTTGGAGAAAAGGTAAGATGAGTACAGGGAAAGTGGTGGAATATGCTATAGGGTGGGGTCATGGTAGCTTTAAGTGAGAAGTCAACTGCCGGTTAATAGACTTTTTGCCGTATGGGTATACGTTGCCCAGGGCGCACCACGTGCAGGTAAGTCTATCGCACACCCTAATGTAAAATTGATGACTTTTATTAACTAGAGAGCTCTTGAACGGATCTCGATAATTGTCCATACTGAACATTAGAATAGTATTCGCGGAAGTTGAATTGCTGGAAATGTCTCAGTGGGTGCAACAAAATTCTTTTTTCATCTAAATCTTTGATGAAATGAAAGAAAACACTATTGGTGAAATAATTTTGTCCTTTTTTAAATCCTCATACACATATATGCTTTTAAATATACGTATATAAGTAGGTTTTTTGTTATATTATTTATTATTCCGCAAATCAGACTTATTCTAATCAAAGACTTCTGTTATGTTGATTTCTATCCAATACAAATACGTTTCCTAACTTTCATCGGAACGTAGGAATTGCCCAAACTTAGGCTGCTGTAACAGCCGCGTTCATTTGAGTATCCTGAAACCAACTCTCTTAATAGTAAATCTGAAGAAATTTAAATATAATATTTCAAAATAATATAGATAGATAGATATAGATAGAATCAGTTTATCGGAACTGAAATGCACACCTAATTACTTCGAAGGGGAACTAATCTTTCAATATATTGTCAATTTAGTAATTAAGTAAGTTCTTGGTAATCAATTAAAAATATAAAGACTATCAGGACGGCAAGATGACATCAAGAGACACCATGCATACAACAATCTATCGAGATGGCAGCCCCTTTAAACTGTTAATGCTATTTTTACTTTACTGTATGAATCCGCGTATCCAACTTCCTTGTTGTCGTAGCCAATGAGAGCTATCTGCCGAAATTAGATAGCTAACAAATTGGCATATTCTACTTCATTACTCACTTCCAGCACAGGGTATTTCCAGTTTGGTAATTCAACAATTCCAGAATGGAGGTGACTACAAGACATCAATTGGCATGAAACTGAGAAATAAATGCGCCCAAATATTTTTTTAAAGCAACCGAAAATTATCGGGAGGTAAGGAGAGTGAGTTAAATTTATTCTCTGAGTTTTATTTGTACATATTTTCATTACTAGATATTCACCCTCTATGAACCAACGTCGCAATTTTTCAATTTGTTGGTTAACTAAGCATGATAAACTATAGGATACTCAAACATTCATGCACACCTCAAAATTACATTTCTTTATTAAAAGAGCACTTAGCGAGAGATAGACTAACCTCCACGTGGAGCAACTTGGGCAGCGTATACTCATACAGCAGAAAGTCTAGAAATCGGCAATTGACTACTGACTTCAAACTACCTTGACCCAATTGTATGCCATATTCCACCACTTCACAGTACTCACCTTAATATTTTTCCTACCTTCGTGTCTGCCTCTTTTACATCTGTAAATCATTCTTCTGTACCCCTCTCTCGAATTTTTGTGACTGTCTATTCCTCCCCTCTGTGAGGCCCAAAGTCAACTATGGAGCTAATGGTAATCATCATGAAGCCTGCCATTTGAAATAAATGCATTATTAAAATGGCATTGGGTAAACTGCGGAAGATATGCTAATGGATTACCACAACTTTCTTCCTATTTAAATATGGTCTTTATTATTAATGTTCCCAATATCTGCTTTAGTTAAAAATAACAAGATTGGGTTAAAAATAATCCCATCAATCCAAAACTTCGCCCCCTCAAAACAGGACATGTGATGCAGCAATCCGTAACGTGCATCCTCTCGAAACGTTTTAGGAGAGATGCGACAATGCAATACGCCCCCCACTAGTTAAGGGTTAAGCGAGAAGGCTAAAATGACGCGTTAGTGATGAATCATATGTATATATATACGCCCTCGCACCCACTTAACCTTGTGCTGAAGGTAATAGAATAAAGCAGAAACGTGCGCCCGTGCACCTACCCTGAGCGGAGTACACGTGAGCCAATTTCAAAACGGTGCGTGAAATCGCATGGATAGAGCAAAAAGTACATGGGCCAGATATAGAAATTTCAAGATAAAACAGTCGGATTCACGAGGTCTTTCTGGTGACCAGCGAATCTATTCCCAATGATAAATAGACTTCCCCCACCTAATTCTCAGGCTCCATATAATTTCAATGGAGAGGATTCGATAACATTTATTATTCTCAGTCAACATTTATTATTTTGAACACCTATCTCATCACCGGCCCCTCCCCCTCCCCCCTCCTCCCAGATCGGGATGGGCCCCTGGAATAAAGATGGTAAGGTCATGCTCTCATTGCTCTTCATTTTATAGGATTATTTGGCACAAATTTGGCCCATACAGAGCACTTAGATAAATCTCTCTTATCAGCCCTTTATCGTTCGATTTGCTCGAAAGATGGCCAAATAAACAATAACCACCTTAAATTTTAGCCACAGCCAGCACCTCTTTTCGACACTCATCTCGGACAGAGAAGTGATACTTTAAATAATCTCCGAAGGGCTCTCCAATAACCCCTTCTTGAGCAATTTCAAGCAGTAGGATGCTCACTTTAAGTGCCCCGACGTCGTTAAAATATAACGATAACCATATTAAGAAGGATGGGGTGTGCGATAGACTTACTTTCACGTGGTGTACCTTGGGCAATGTATACTCATACGGTAAAAATGCCCATTAACCGGCAGTTGACTTCTGACTTCAAACTACCATCCCCCTACTGTATGTCATATTCGACCCCTTTCACAGTACTCATATTACCTTTTCTCTGCATTTATGTCTGTGAATCATTACTCTGTCCTCCCTCTCGACATTTTGTCACTTTGATGTTCCTCCTCCCCTCTGTGAAGCTCGCAGTCAACTAAAGGGCTAATGATAACCATCAAAACGCCTGCACTCAGCTAAATGGCTAATGATATCTATCAAAACGCCTGCCACCAACTAAAGGGCTAATGATAGCTATCAAAACGCCTGCCATACCGAAG